GAGGGTAAGCACATCTCATATAACCGATTTATTGGTAGTCTCGAAACGAAAAAAGATACTGTGCCATGATAGCAAGGCGATGAATCAGAGCTCCATTATTTAAACGCGTTTTTCGAGATCAAATGAGCCGTAGATTCCAATCTACAATCGGATATTAAATAATCGAACATAACTGTACATTTTTATTCGATTTATATATCACTAATAGATATTTAAACTTTGAGGCGCATGCCAGCACCGCATACTAACTGGCCATGCTTCCAAACGTTAATTATTTGATGGTTCGACCTCATTTTCGCAAATTGTTTGGAACGTCGGGGAGACCTTATGGGACGTACCTAGTCCTGTCCTCTGCCATAATATTCTTGATTTCGAGCATTAGAACATTGATTTGGTACATTCTTAAATGCTTTGCCGGCATAGTAATCGGTATCGTCAATGAGATGTGCGATCATCAGAACAGAGTTATAGCCTATCAGTGACAAATGAAAACAATCTCCTTGACCAATTTTCTGTTCAGCTGTTGTGGCACTACTCCTCGCCCCTATTCCTTGTTCCACCTTCAAGCGCTGCATCTCCTCTCAACCCCACTTTATATGGCCCATCTACCTATTCACACAATTCTGTTTCCTCGTTTTCCCTAATGTCACTTCAAATGGATATAGTGAAGCGTATTCATCTTCACCGTCGATTCTAGGTGCCGTTTGCAGGGCTTCTGACCTTCCTTCTACCCCGCTTACCAATTGGTCACTGCTAAACACCAAAATCACTGCCTCACTGTCTGAAATCTGGCTGCCAAAGAGCCTTCAGTTGCCGTCCCCCAATTACGCTACATTCGAGGATTCAGAGCATATGATGTCCATGCCCATGACAATTTCAGGGAATCTTCTTCTTCCTAGACTTCAAACCCATGACTCAGTTATCCTCTTTCTCGACTCCACCCACATTACGTATCATTATTTGGGGCTCTGTGTCCGGCTTAAGTCATAATTGCTGGTGTGTAAATGCACAGAAAATTGGTCAAAGGGATTGCTCACTTGTCACTGATAAGTTGTAACTATGTGCTCACGATAGCGCCTCTCATTCACGATATCATCGAAACGTTTGGGAATGTCCCAAATCAATTCTCCAATATCGGAAATCACTGATACTATGGCAGAGGACACAGGACTAGATAGATTCCTCGAAGTCTCTCAGACGCTTCGACCAAGTTGCAAAAACGAGGTCGAACCAAGACTATAAAGCTAAAGGAGACTGCAATAAAACACAAGACAAAACCGCCTTGGTTTTCATATATACGAATTAGTTATTTGAGCAGATGTATAATGGAAGACTGGATCGGCATCTTAGAATAACGCACATAAAAGTAGCTGGATGTAGTTTCTACAAAATGAAAAGAAATTACGAGGCCTTGATCAGGGCTCTTCAGTCCCACGAGCAGGTGTTATGTTGTCCCCTGCAAAAAGCCGCATTAGAAAGATCTGATATGAAGTCTCGGAACCAACGAATGAATGGTAAGATATAAGAGTGTATAGTATACTATCGAGTCATGCGACACTACATATCTATTACCATTGTAAATAGAATGCAAACCGAAAGTCTCACATATTTGGAAATGACAAATGGAAGAAATCACGAAACATCAGATTAAAATAGTGTGAATAAAGCTCTATTATCGTCTATGAAACCCGATCTTACGTTATATGGACAAAATAATCCCAACAAGCAACAAAATGATCAAGTAAAGAAAGTGAGCTGAGGAAAACTTTGTTAAAATCTTTAATAGTGAGAAGCTAAATTCGAATTGGCGGTAATCATTTGGAAATATTTTGGTACATGCAAAGCATTAGATACAGCTAATAATAATAATAATACATTTGTAGATGTAAAATGCAATATAGATAATAGATATTATATAGATAATCATCACAGCTTGAGGGTATCCATGGCTCTCATGCATTATCAAAAGTAATGTCCTCGGCAAGCAAGAAGGAAAAAAGCAGATGGACTGGGTCACGTTGCATAGTAATTTAAGCGGCACGAGTCCAGTTTTTAAACATGCAAGAAGTCTATACACATCAGGAAAAATAGGAAATAAGAATAAGTGTATACAAAAGTCGTTATTATGTACAATAAGAGGAAAAGAATAGATGCCAGAGGGATGGTGACAGATATGGGATCTGATTGTACGAGGAAGAAAAATGAAGAAACGACTAACGGAAAAATCGACTAGATATTGGTATTGAGACCAAGTTACAGAGGCAGATATGACATGAAAATTTTTCAATCTGGAATTGAGATATGGGAGCGAAGGAAGGTACGCAGAAGATGCATATATTTTAATAAGCCAAGGCAGCTAAAAATCGTGGCCTGAGTAATTATGGACTTGTATTGAAAATTCATCTCAGAGCAATTTTATAAGAGAAGCAAGCCCAGTAACTAGTGTATTGAGAAAATAAACCCCAATAAGCAACTGACATTTTGGAATGAGTAAGATTTGGATGCGATAAACAAAGCATGAAACAGCTTTGAAATTAGGTTGAAAAAAATAATAGAGACCACAAAAAATGATTCACAGCTAGCCACAATGTATAAAGTTTAAGAAGCTTCAAGAGCCTGAGGAAATTGCAAATAAACTTAATGGTTCCCCAAACAAACACAAGTAAACATAGAAAAATAAACATAACAGGGATCATTTTCGCTTGAGAGAAGAGTCAGTATGTCTGGAACAACCAGGTAGTGTCCCCGACCTTCGGGCCCCCGAAAGCAGAGTTCCAGTCTCTGGCCTACCAAGAGAAGTGCATATCCGACCCGGGTTAAATGAATTAGTAGCCCGATTCCCTGATACTTCGAAGAGACTGGAACTGTTGGTGTCACCATCAATACGCCCATAATTTCCTCTGCCGTACGAGTGAGTTACGACACCAATACTGGGACCAGCTCCTTTCCCATAATTATTAAAGCCACTCCCTCTGTTGCTGCTATCCCGACGACCAATAGCAAAGTTACTACGACCCGAACTGGTAGCACGACCCAGAGCCCGACCTCTGCAATCTCCACGGCGAGATCCACCAAGACCAGCGGATATGCCTCGACCGATTCCAATTTGTCGACCCATGGGAACCAAGCCAAGAAGGTCTTCCTCGACAGGCTTGCCTTCGAGCCGACGAAGAGCAGCCTCGATACGCCGGATTGCTGTCTGTGCGTTCATTTGACGACGGTGGCGCTCATCTTCAGCTAACAAAAATAAAGAATGCAGTAACCATTAAGGGATATATATAAAAATATAAAGGTTATTTTTAGAAAAAAAAAGATTTGATAAAATGGAAAAGACACTCATGCAAATTGTCCTTGACCTAGAAGAGTGCCTCTAATGCGTTAGATAGATAAAGTATTTAAGTGTTTTCAAGAAAAACGAAATGATTTTCTTAGCGAATTTTTTCTTCGTCTAGATATTTATGTATTTACAGGTTTTAGGAGTTGCAATCAGAATCCGGTTATACCATAGAAAAATTTGAAACCATGGGATATTGTGGGCCTTATTCGGGGTTGCTCAAACTTCCTGATCTGGATGGCCAGGCTTAAAGGAAAGGTGAGGTATGGTGGCCTAAGATTCAACCTTATTAACTTCAGCCAATGAGAAGCAGTAAACTAAGATAAAAAGGCTGGCGTGGCTAATGATGCATGGTAGCTAGTGGTGCATGGTGTCCCAAAGAAATACTACGAATTATGCTAAGCTACTAGTATTTAGTAACTTACAATTAAAAGCACGGATTGAGTGTGGTGGCTTCGCAGACTAAATCCAAAA